GGGGGGGGGGGGATATGGGAGGGGAAGAGGGCGCAATGGATACTTAAAAACTTAACATTCTTCAAAGTAGTGGACATTCCACCTCACTGACACTACTAGCTTACTCCATAGAATCAAGGTTCAAGAAGATTATGTGTAAAATCATATCTTTCAGGGCAGCAATATTGCATCTTACAGGAGTTATCACTCTAATGAAAGCATCGCGTCATATTTCCCAACTTAATGGACTTTGATAACAACATGCTTTACTAGCATGTACAGTTTACTGTCATTGGTGTCGTCTCCCAAGCTTGTGTCAAGCGTTAATAATTAATAATTAATACTCTCTCTTCAATGGTCTCAGATTACGTTGTGCTAAGCTAAATGATAGTAGTAGTTTTTGTCACCAATGTGTTATACCGAGAGTCGAGAGATCAAGAATATGAAAAAAAATGCTGAAAATTTATCCTTTTGTCATATTAACAAGGATAAAAGAATACATTGAAAGATCTCCGTCACTCTCCTTTTTACTGTTCTCTCTAATGTTGTATTGGGGAGCATACACCCTTGACTGTCCAATATTACTACAGGACCTAACTACAGTATCATAGTGCTTTCTCTCCACCACTTTTTTTCATCCTTTTCTCTTGCTGTCTCTCCCCCTTCCAAAGCAATTGTGGTCACGAGGCATGCATTACTTGTTGTATAATACTGTATCACTATATGGTGCTTCCTCTAGGATTTTTCTCGCTTTATGTAGGGGAGAGGTATATGTCCTCCATGTAGGTAATTAACGTGAGTAGCTAGCTATCTTTAACAAGAAAACTATGTGGAAACTCGGCCCTTTGGTTGGTGGGTTACATGTTGTTTCAATAACTCTCATGCATCATTTATCTTCTGTTTGTTGTTTTTCCTATTAATATGGGATTTCTCCAGGGAAAGTACATGAGTAGCTTGATACAAAAATTCTTTGAACTGAATTAAAATTAGATGTAGTCCCCTTCTCAGAACAGTGTAGTATATTCTCCAGCTTTTAAATATATTTGTCCGATAGATTGCAGTCCTTAAACATCTTATGCTGATGATTTCGTTGCTGTACTCTGATTGGACTGTTTATTGTCACCTCTTTGCAGACTAGAGCTTTGTCCAGAGAAGAGAATGCTTTTCTATCCCAACCTTCCAAAGATGATTGGTTCTGACTTTCTTGAGGCCCGAATAAGATACATACATGGAGCTAGAGGGAGCACAAAAGCTTGTCATATTTTTGGTCACACCCACTTCTGCTGGGATGTCCAGCTTGACGGTATCAGGTGTGTTCTGCTCTTGGATGCATTAGACTGCTCAAAGACATTAAATGCCTGCTATTTTTTTTTTTTTTTTTTTTTTTTTTTTTTTTTTTTTTTGAGAAGGTAACATATTCAGTATATCCATAAATATCCTTGTTCTTCTTTCAAGGAGCTTAAAACATCTAGAATTGAAACAGGATCATCTATGTATTCTGATTTACACCAAAAAAAAACACAGAATACACTTCATCTTAATTTTCTGGAGAGGGTTGCTTATATCTTCAAAACATCTCGAGTTCCTTTCCTTCCAAACTGTCCACCAAATAGTTGCGGGGACAATTTTCCATCTGTCTTTGTTGTGGTAAAGCTTGCCCCGGAGTTCCAGCTTAGTAAGATTAAATGCCTGCTAGTTGTAAGGAGTTTTTAATTGAAGCAAAATGTAGTGTGCATGAGTGTTAGATTATTTTCCTCTGAGTTCTGGTCTTAGAATATGTTGATGGAGAAGACGGAAACGTGACTTAATATTATAGTATAATTTTTGAAAATGCGGCCAAACTTAATTGTATTAGATCTTGCCGTGAAAATCATGCATCTGGCTGGAAACATACTCTATGAAACGAAGAAGATACTCCTTTAAAAAATTATGTAATATATCTGATGAAACCTGAATAGTACTAATCTTGCAAGAATTTTAGTTTTTTAAATATCTCATTGCCTTTAGCATATCATGTTTCTGTAACTTACTAATCCAAATGGACTAATCCAAATGGCTTCCCCATTTATTTAGAATCACTTTGAACTCCTACAAAATGTAAAGTATAACCTTCACATAGAAGAACAGAATAAAGCAGCTTCAAAAGAACTAGTCAAGTTATATCCCCATTCTATTACAGAGTAGAACTGAGTTGTTATGTTATGGTAACACGTTTTGGAGGATAAAAAAAGCTTGAGGGATTGTTTGGCTGCAGGTATGTGCAGGCGCCATTAGCGTATCCAAGAGAGCGGAAAAGAAGAATGAATGGAGGAGAAGACTGGCTGCCATTTTGCATTTACTCAAATAGTAAACTTACAGAGAGTATGTCTCCTTGTTATTGGTCTGATTATTATGCCTCCAATCCTAGAACCCCTGATGTAACTGAACTTGCTCCATGGGTTGCCAGATTCTACGGCAAACTTTAGCAATCTCTAAGTAAGAATGCTATTTTATGTACTGCAGTATTTCATTTTGTAATTTGTTTCCATCTACCTAGCCATGGCATTCATCCAGTTCTACCACCATCTGTCGTCAAATATTCCGTTCAGACTTTTACCTCAACTGGCAAAGGGAATTTCTAACAGTTTAACTTATTAACTCAGCTCCATACATCCATGAGTTTCTTGAGCAAATAGAACAGAGGGAGTACAAGTAACTAGATCAGACCTCTGGTTCACTAGAGGTAGAGAACATTTAATATTATACTGCTAGTCACTACTCACTAGTGTGTACCCCTATCAACAAACCAATGAAATCCCTTTGAATTTATCTTCGCGTCCTAGCATAAGGTCATTTTTTTGAATGGAAAAAAAAGCTAAATGTTCTGCATTGTACCATGTTGAGTTCTCTTAGTTTAGGTATGCAACTAAGAAAGTTTCTTCGCAGAAAGAATAACAAGTGTTGTGGGACTCAACTTTGGACGCTGAATATTATGAACAAAGCCAAACATTGAACTGACACACAAACATGATTCCATTAAAATAAAAAACCAAGAATAGACTCGGGGATAAAAGTACCTTTTAAAGCTATTACTGGGATCATTGTCTTTATTTTGGAGAACTTACAAAATGCAACTACATAAAGAAGTATCCAACGCAGAAAACATTAGAAAAGGGAATTAAAAAGCAACCATAGACTGGAGTACAAACTTCACATAAAAGTTTCAGTTTTTTAAGCACAATCCTCTCTTATTCACAAATGGAAGACTGCTATCGAAGTGCATTTAGTAATCTTCTGGTGCCAATGGCTGATGGGTGGTCGGGCGCGGAACGGCCTCATGCTGTATGATCCCATACTCGTAGATAAGTCCAGCCAGGGCTGCACCCACAAAAGGGCCCAACCAGTAAATCCAGTGGTTCCTCCACCTCCAGCCGACGAGAGCAGGCCCAAATGCCCTTGCAGGGTTCATGGATCCTCCCTCAAAAGGCCCTCCCACCAGGACATTTGCCCCCACAATGAAAGCAATGGCAAGAGGGGCAATGGTGTGCAAGCTACCCCTCCTTGGATCAATGGCAGTTGCATACACTGTGTAGACTAGTCCGAACGTCATAACTATCTCCATCACAAGTGCATTCAAGTTGCCAACTCCGGCTGCCACTGAGAATCCCAGTGGTCGCTGCATCAACAACAATATAATTACGCCTCAATCTCAAATAGAACACAAGAGTAAAGATGTTAAAACAACAAAGAGAAGAATGTACCAAGCCATCAGTAGCGAGCCTCAACAAGAGAGAGGCTACAACAGCACCTACAAGCTGAGCTAACCAATAGTAGACAGCACGAACGACGGATATCCTGCCCCCAACAAGCGCACCAAAGGTAACAGCTGGGTTGATATGCCCTCCAGAAACATTCAGGCTTGAGGCTACGGCTGCAAAGAACGATAACGCATGCGCCAGCGCTATCGCTGTCAGTCTTGATGCTCCTAATGCCGTCTCCGGGTACAACTTATCTGCACAACAAATATTCATAGTGATACAACCTCTGTGCATGCATGCATGATTACGAGTGTCGCTGCTACTTATGATAGTGGTAGAACTATTCTGCATCAACTTTTCGTTAGAAATCATGATTGACAGCATAACACATAACAGAACTAAGATGATACTCCTTCTGTTCCTTTGTATATACACTCTTTCTTTTCAATCTGTACGTTTTTGTTATTTACTCTATCGCTACAGAAATGTGATGGCATATGCTTTAGACTACAAGTTCAGAATGTACTTTACCTTCTAGCTAGCATGTGCCTGAAAGTCTTTCTTTGTTAAACGATGTACCTAATTAATCACACCATCCTATATAAAATGAAACGGATAGTGTATCACTTACCAAGAGCAAGAACGGTGCCTTCACCGGCAAAGACGAAGATGAAGGTGGAGAGAAGCTCAGACAAGGTGGCGCGCATGGAATCAGGGTGTGTGGCTTCATCCGCCCTCCCAAATGCATATCTCCGTTCTGGCATAGCCATAGATTATGATTGTCTGTTACGTTCCTTAGTCTTTCTCTTACGTCCAACAGTTTTCACAATTAATTAGCAGCTTTAGTACCACTGATCAGAGCTGTAAGAAGATTATTGCTCTGAAACTTTCTTGAGATATTAGTGATCAAAGCTGAATGAAGTCACACAGAATATATGAATTGAAGTCACAGAAGAAATCAAGAAAGAAGAGAAGATAAAGATGAAGAGCTCAAAGAAAGATGAGGGTAACCAAGAACGAGATATATGGTGTTATAATAGAAGTAGATGGCTGGTTAAGTTAGACAAAAAATGGAGTTTGGAATGAAGTGGACACTTGGGTGAAAGTGTGCATGAGTTTTGACACGTACTACATAGGTGTCTGTTTCAATCCAATTAACACCGTTTTCTTCTTACTCTTCTTCCACCTAAGCTCAAACCCAAAGACTTACTTCCAAAGTCCATCCACACTACTATATACTTGAATTAAATGAAACCATGTTCGAGTTGCTTCTCTTTTAGTATTTCCTATCAGCTAAATCATCTTCATCCACAACTGCAACAAATTCAAGAAAAGTTGGGCTTTATTCAAACTTTATCGTCATCCTTTTGCTTGCTGCCAAAATCAATTGGCCCCACCTCAGGCTACTACATGCATTATGTACAAAATGGAACACTCCCAACTTCTTTATTTGATAACTGATCCTGAGGTTACTCTTCAAGTTGATCACTCTTTTTTCAAATCAGGAGATTATATTTATCATTTTCTAGATGTATTCCTATTAAAATACGAATTCTGAACAATTGTTTTCTTGGAATGCAATTACTATATCCTAATACCAATCAAGAAGTCGGTTGTACGAATTTTATGGCTTCATTTAAGCTCATCTTATTTCAATATTATATAAGAATACTCTCTTACTTCTAGGTGGCAATGTCATAGAACTTGCCTATTTTTCATCATACATAGGTGCCAACCTAACACGTGGCTAGGTGAGTGCGGCCTTATGCAACTTGTAGTGTCTGATTAGGTTTACGCTGGCTATTAACCAACTGCGACCCTTCTCTTTGCCCAAACTTGGTATTAGTCGCACAGGCAAAATTCTTTTATTCAGTTTATTCAAATAATACCATTATCCAAGAAAAAATGAAAAAAAAACATTGTACTATGTGTTAATTCAAATGGGTATTTTCATCAAGTAAAAGATGAACATTGGAAATACTTACTATCAAAGATCTACAAAGAATTAGCTTGTAGAATGAAAATGATATCATAAAACTAATTAGCTCTGCTTTTAAGCTAAAACCTCCTCCTAAATTTCTAACTTTCTTGGCTACATTTTAGGAGGGAAACTTCAACTAAGAAACTGAATCATCTTCAACATGATCTCTTTTGTTCAACCTCAATCTCTTCTATTCTTCTAAACACTTCACTCATTTTAGGCCTCTTTTCTGGCACCTCATCTGTGCACTGCAAAGCCAACTCAGTAAGTTTCAACATTTCATTATACCCTTCCTTTTGTGCAAGTATTTCCATATCCAAAATATCAGTTGACCAATCATTATTTACCACTGTTCTAACCCACTCAGAAAGATCATCATCAACAATATTTGTAACTCCATTTTCTGGTGAGAATAATTCACCTGGTATTTTTCCAGTGATCACTTCTAAGAGTAGAATCCCAAAGCAATAGATATCAGCTTTTCTTGTTAGCTTTTTCCCTTGACAGAACTCTGGAGATTTTCCCACTGCTAATTTTTTTGAGGATTCTTTAGATGGTAGCAAAGGTAAGAATCCATAATCTGTTAGCTTGGAATGGTAATTCTTGTTCTGAGGGTCTTGTTCGATTAGGACATTTTTTGATCTGATGTTTCCATGTGGCACCTTATGTGATGGTAAAGACTGGTGCAAGAAATTAAGAGCTTTTGCAACATCCTTTATGATGGATATTCTTGCTGTCCAATTTAGTGGTTGTCTCCCAATTCCTCTGTTTTCTGCAACCAAGAATCATTACTTTTTAAAAGGTAATTTTAAGGGGAAAAAGGGATGATTTGCTACGAGTAAATCGTCTTATATTTGCTCTATAACCTAACAGAGTCCAACTTGAAGTACAAATGTATAACATGAGGTAATACTAAACCATAACTAAAAAAAGAGTGTCAATTTGAATCTTTGCCCTATTGTAAAAGGTCGCCCGGTGCACAGATCATCTCGCATTCACGCAGGGTCTGGAGGGCCGCACCTCAAGTGGATGTGATGTAGGTAACTTATCTTGATGCAAGCATCAATGGTTCCCCTTTCTCTTTTCCCGAATGTCCTTTCTCTTTTCCCGGATGTGACACGTTGAATTCATCCAGTCGAGTTCATGCTGGAGGTAGAGAAATACGAGACGATTTGCTAAAGGAAAGAGTATAAATAGCCCTAAACTATAATAGAAGTAAAATTACGGGACAATTTGCTATAACAAGGATATGAATAGTCTCAAAGTATAACACTTACTTTGCCAGAAAAAGAAGGAAAAAAGAGAGTTAATGAACCAACCATGTAACAGCTCGAACAAGTCACCATAGGGAACATATTCATAAACAATGAGCTTCTCCTCCTTGGAAAAGTAGAATGAAATCATCTCCACAAGGTTTTCATGTCTCATTTTAGCAAGCAACTGCATCTGCTGGGTAAATTCCTTCTTGCTCAAAGAATTCATTTCTTTGAGTCTCTTAACAGCAACAACAATACCAGATTCCAGGATTGCTTTATATGTTGTGCTTAGTTTTCCTTTTCCTAACACTTCAGCTGATGCCCTTAGCAAATCATCCATGTCAAACACTGATGTATCCTTGTCAAAGAATTCCAATTCCAATGTTCTTTCTGGATCTTCTGTGCTCTCTGACCAATACCTTCTCTTTTTCACATTCTCAGTTGAAATATTTCCTGTTAACATTAAAATTGGAAATGTTAGAAGAGGAAACAATAACAATATAAACTACTCCATCATCACATGTCATCCTCCTCCTATATTTTTGCATTATGTCCAAATTGAATAAAAAAACAAAAAAACCCGAAATAGTTGTGGATCTTTAGGTCCAACTCAGTAGATAATCTTGTTCTATGTGTAGGTGTCACGGTTCAGAGCCGAGTGACTAGAGCCAATCTTATTGAGCTAGAAGTGGTTGACTTTGACGTCATAATGGGAATGAATCGGTTGTCTTCCTGTCGCAAAATAATCATCTTTAGCACCTCTGGAGCCAACGAGTTCTGAATGACCTTCCTCTAGCAGTTTAAAAAAAGGGTCACTATTTCGAAAAAATTCATATTATACATTCGAAAAATGTGTCTCAATTACAGCCAACTCCCACTCCCTTGTCTCTTTCCCGGTCGAAAAAACAGCCCTATACCAGATAACTTGCTCATCTAATTCGATCTGAGCAATAACCTTTCCCCGGGAAACTGGCACTAGACAGGATTAAAAAGGCAGCCCCGTATACTAAGCTCCTGCCATGCGCGGGGTTGGGAAAAGGGTCGAACCATAAGGGTCTATTGTACTCAACCTTACCCTGGCTGTTTCCACAGCTCGAACCCGCGACCTCCTGGTTACATAGCAGCAACATTTATCAGTTACGCCAAGGCTCCCCTTCAAATAGATAAAATGTAAGTCTTACCTTCCTTGTGTTCTCCTTGTATTTCTTTTCTCTTAGATCTTCTAAAGTAACCAAGTAAAATGAACATAATGGAAAGAGGGACAAGTGCTGCTGCTGCTGCTATCAAAGCAATACTCCAAACTTTAAGACCATTCTTCTTCTTTTCACCTGGTGGGGGTGGAGATATATAAGGAATTGGTGCTTTAGGTGGTATTGGACAAGGTATTCCTACAACCCCACCACACAAATTTGAGTTATTTCCATAACAACTCCTTGGAAATCTTTGCAAAACAGGAGTTTCAGGTATAGGTCCTTCAAGTTTATTAGAAGACACATTGAAAGCAATCAAATTCTGCTGATCAAATGGTGGAATTGAACCTTCAATATCATTTCCCTGGAGCTCTAATTCTGTCAAATTTTGTAGCTCAATGTACCCTTCTGGAATCGAACCCGAAAATCGATTATCTGAAAGAAACACAAATTCTAGATAAACTAGACCTGTGAGATTAGGTAGAGGACCATACAAGAAATTGTTTCTAAAGCTGAGTTTTTTCAAGAAAGTTATTTGCTCCAAGAATGTTGGTGGAAGAGAACCAATTAGCTGAATTCCTTCTAAAACTAAGTGAATGACATGCCCATCAGAACAAACAATTCCAGCCCATTTACTCTGGTTTTTGTAACAAGGAGGACCTGTCCAATGTGAATGCAAATCAAACACACTTGATTTTACACTATCTCTAAGCTGCAATAAGGAATCTCTTTCATTTGGATAAAATTCATTGATCTGATCAGCTGATTCTACCACCAGAAACAACGCGAAAAATAGGATCCTACGCGTTAAAGGAGCCAACTTTCTCATTCTGGTCGTGGCACCCTTGACTTTGAAGAGTATAGATAAGTAATAGCCTGAAATTTTACCTGTAGTAGGTGAAGTGAAATCGAAGAACAACTTGAAAAGATACAAAACATGGGTATAATTTCAACTGTCAAAACGGTTCAAAGTTCAAAAAACAATGCAAATATTTGGTGTTATAGTGATCTCCATTACAGAATTGTCTTTCTATAAAATGTGGAATATTACTTTAGACAGGTTTGACGTAGTAGACAAGGCAAAGCAAAGCTGCTAAAGATTCTGAGATGAAGACGTGAAAGCGGACACAATAAAGAATTATATTTAACAAGACACGTACAAACACGATGTTTGAAAAAACAATTTGCTATTTTCTAGTTGGTATGATTAGCAGGATGTTTGGGGCGAGAAGTTGAAATATGCATGATAATTATTGTGGTTGTTGACAGCTATATAATAAAACTTTAGGAAGTCTTAATCATATACATTTATAGGATGAAGTTTTTCTTGATAGTTTAATATATACTAGTAGTATATTATAATATTGTGATTATATGATAATGTACATTGGGATATGGAGTTGATTTCAATGGGAGTGATTAGAGTTGGCAGCAGTTGTAACAAAACATTGTTGAAAAATTTTCCTTCCTATTTTTTCCTCTTTTTTTTTTTTTTTTTTTTTTTTTTTTTTTTTTTTTTTTTTTGTTTGACATTTTGTTCTCTAATAGTTCCTAGAGTCTCACTCATTCGGTGCGGAATTCAGACTTGCAG